TACACTGCTCACTACTTAGCCTCTGTTTGGTTTTTGCCCAAACTCAATTTTTTACTAGATTTCAATAAAAGTTGTTGAAATGCGAGGTCCAAAAGTTGATAAAAGTTGAGGTTCCCATGAAATGCATTGTTAAAATTAATTTTTTACTTTTGACTTCGTTTTTTATCAACTTCTTTAACTAAACCAAACACGGGCTTAAAATATAAATTTTTTTGTAGAATCATTTGAGAGTAATAAAAACTGCCTTGGACCAGCTTGTGTTGAAGAGATTCATCCAAGGTTAAGGTTGATCCTAGAAATTGAAAATAAATATGATCTTCAGATGGAAGCAGACTCTCTTCAAACAAGACAAAAATCAATAAAGCAGGAATACACCTAGAATAATAAATACACAGAATGATTTGATTCTTACTATTACGGATATTTCATGCCGATGACAATAAGCCTCGGGAGACAACCCACTTGGTGCACTTTTGGAAGCACCACTTTGTGCACCTTTGGAAGCAGATGATCCAAGTCCAGTACCCATTTTCACACTTGGACCATCATGTGAACCATCCAATCTGCTACTTGTTGTCTGACTCAAAATGAAGAAAAAATTAAAAGTTAAATGAAAAAGAACAAACGCCAAAACTGACTGATGGAGAAACAGTAACTTTATGACCCAAAACATATGCAGCCCATTAGTAAGTTATTCAACTAGTCACCCAATTACCTATATAAAACCACATATAAATCCATCCTTGGGTTGTTTAGTCATTGACACGTTGCATATTAACATAGGTCATAATTATAGTTGCTGCAACTAAAGTGTATCACCAAATATAAGTTGCAATGGAAAGCAAATAAAATCACGCAATAGTTTTGAAATTAACATACGTACACAGTGCGAGAGACAGAGAGAGGGATCATGAACTAGAGAATCTAACAGTACCAAATAACATTTGTTGAATAATAGTTGATTCAAAATGCTATGCAAATGACAAAAAGAAAACCGAAAACGTAAAATAGGTTAGTGAAGCAAGACCAAAAAAACATGTATGTCATTTCTACTTAGATAAGATGGGTCTAGAAATGTTCACAGTAATTGTGTTATAAGTGACACTGGAATGCAAAGAACATATGAGAGAACCGTTTAGACACCTGATAACTTTCCGCTCCAGGAACAACCTTCATTGATACACCATTGTTACCGCTGCTATAATCATCACCATCATTGTCACCGCAACGTCCGGGAGAGGACTTTTGAACCAATGAAGTCAAAGATTTGTAAGGTGAACCAGAGCTTGCTTGTGACAAGGCAGCAGGCTTTTCATATTGGGTAACATTGGTCTCTGGATTCCAGAAATATAGATATCCAGTCTTTCCATCAACCAGGCCTCTCCAAGGTTTTGGGAGGCTGGGGTCATCTGGTGCATAACGTACACCAGTAGAAGATGCAGTTTCAGTTGCAGTAGCCGCCATATCAGAGGTTCTCTCTAGAATATCCTTAGTATTAACAGACAAAATAACAGTACAAAATATTTATCATAAACCCTGGCACGTGAATCGTCAAAAGCACAGAAACATAAATCATCAATTATATTGTCAGTTCACTGCGAATGCTAATTAGATTACAGGCAAGATATTTACCCCCAAAAAAAAGTAATAGGATCGAAAATTCACTACTTGAGATGTGGGCGAATTTAATGACCAGAACTAGAAAGCACGTTGGAATCGTTTGCGTCTGTACAGTATAATAGGAAAAAGAAAAACCTTACCAAATTATTACAATGTGACTGAAAATTTTGGAAATGAAACTGCCACTGACCATGTCATTTGGAAGAAACAATTATCATGACTTAAAAAGAAATGAGAAATATAAAAAATGATTTAGTATTTATAAAAAAAAATAGGACGCATATGGAGAAATGCAGGCTTGCTTGCAAGATTTAAGCAAACAAAAATTCCAGATTAGAACAAGCATTAATAGTAAAAATAAAATTCGTTCAGATAAGTACATTTTCAACGCAAAAATATGCAAAAAAAAATCGCAAAAATTGAAAGAATTTAAATCCTGAAACCGGGCTTTAAAAAACCCCATAAAAATTTTGCATAAACGATTGACCAAAAAATCCTAATTTGAAAACCCTAGATTGTTTTGTAGCCATTCCGCCCTTTTCTTGCATGCATAAATAAAACACTACATTCAGATCTGGGAAAAATTAAAAATGAAAAAACATAAAAACCAACAAAATGGAAAACAGAGGAAAAACGAACGATCGATACCTTATGACGTCAGTTTGAGAACTCAAACGAAAGTACACAAATGCTCCACTCTCCACTGCACTTCTCTCTCTAGAAATAAATATGCACCTGTATAAGTGTATGTATATAAAGAGGAAGTGTATGTATCGGAGCGCTTAGATAGAGAAAGGAAGCGGGAGAGTGAAAGTGCCACGCCTCTGAGTTCCGTGAAACGAGAAGCGCAGACTAACGAAGAGTATAGCTGTAGATATTACTCTGCTTCCAACTGTGTTTTCATGAAAAATGAGTTTTGCAATAATAATTTTTTGAAAGTTGTGTGATTTTTCATAAAAAAAAATTTCACATTTATGTATAAAATTATTTTATTAAAAGAATACGTAATTAAAAATAAATTTTTAGAAAATGAGATCATAGCACCGAAAAAGTTAAAGAGTGCATTTGATTTATCACTTTGAGGCTATTTTTAGTTTTGTAAAACATCGACAACGTGTTTGTTGTAGCATTTTTGAAAATAAGATAAAATTTATAACGTAAAACTCAAAAAATATTTTTTAGGGTTAAATTTATCGATGGTCACCCAATTTTATATTTAGAGTATGTTTAATTGCATTTATTTTTCATAAAAAAAGTGTTACTTTTTCATCTAAATTCTTATTTCGAAGTGTTTGATTGCTATTTTTTTCATGAAAAATATTTTTCAACTTTTAAAGATATGACTATTTTTCATTGTTTTTAAGGAAAATATTTTTTTTAGAGGAGTATGTTTTTATTTTCCTCAAAACAAAGAAAATATTTTCTTTTTTAGGATATATTTTTAATGTCAATCAAGCACACTTTTAGTGTACCCACTTTATATTTAGTGTCACAATAATCACCCATTTGATTTTCTTTCATTATGGCCACCCAATTTTATATAACGTTTCACGTGACCACTGAATTTCATATAATATTTCACCATGATCGTTCAATTTCTTTTTACCATTTTCATTAAGGTCCTATTTGATA